ATTTTCTCGAAAACTCCCATATTCGATCTATGGTATTCTCAGTATCCTTCTGTAAGGCCACATTTCTGTTGTTTCAAGTCTCTTCTGTGATGAAGAAAATACATTCACTTCCATCTAAGAGGATTAATAACAGTCTAGTTCTTCTCTTTGTTTCTAACGAAGTTTTTCTGTTTCTTAATACATTGCTTAGCTTTTGGGAGGCATCTTTCGCTTCAGATTTCAGTTTTATATTTCCCTTCTCCTGTTAAAACAATTCCTAGATAATTAAAGTTTTGTTCTATTTTGCTTTTGGTATCTTCAACTTGTAATTTGCATGTTAGTCAATTCCTTTTGCTAAGAACCATGTCTTCTTGCAAATGACGTTTAGTAATTTCTTATCGCTTTTCTTCACTACCTTCAGTAGGAGTTCTTGTATCTTACTTTCTGTGTCTGCTATTAACACTGTGTCATCTGCATATCGTATTTTGTTAAGATTGTGCCCGCTAATAATGAATTCTGGTAGGACACTATCTATAGGTTGAATAAGTCCGATGAGAGGATACAACCTTGTCTTACAGTCCTTTCTATAAAATTAAATGTTTATTTACCTTATCCATACTCAGGGCTTCATGGGGATTATATCTCTTCATCAGGAGACTTGACTGCAGCATTTAGATTATTTTAAAAAAAATTTTTCCATAAAGATGTTAAATTATGATGCAGACATATTTAAAATTGCACGTATTAGATATTCTTTTCATTTAATTGGAAATTAGATATTAATGCAATTTTACATTTAAATTCTATATGTAGCCAAAACTGGCGCTACAGAATCACAAACAAAGGATACTGAAAAATGACATAGATGGGGTTTGAAATCTACGCGAAGTCTTAAGGAAAAAAGGAAACAAAAAGAACACATAGAATCCGAACACGACAGGTAAAATTTATAATATATAAATATAGTTTCAAATATTCTTTCGTTTTTCTTTTTTTTACAGTGGCTGCTATATATTTTGTCATAGCCGACGCGTTTCGTCCTCTGAAGGAATTCATCAGGGCAAAGTCCCTCAGAGGACGAATATCGTCGGGTAAGTTAAGTTTTCCCTTTTCCTTATTTATATCCATTTACAGATATACTCTTACTGAAATATATATATATAGGGCCGGACTATCGTTTACTATCGTGTAGCCTAGTGCCTTTCAAGCGTTTATAAATCAATGATTTTAATTTTTTGGACGTTATCACTTCTAAATAATTTCATGTACTGAAAGGATATTAGTATGGCAAATTCATATTTATTCAACTTTGAAGGAAGCAAAGCAAGGATATTTTTTTTTATTTTGTGTCATTGTGTTTCAAATAAATAACATGTTTGTGTTTAGTTCAGAAAATATAGATCGTATAAATTTTTATAAAGCAGTGATTTTAATTTTCTAGATTTTATAACTTCAGACTTAAATTTACACTCTTTTTTCACATGGTTGCCAGAGCAACTAAATGTGGGAGATTTGCCAAGAAGAATGGTCAAAAATTGACGCTAACTACAGCCATGAAATTCTATGAAATTATAGATAAAGACTGGTCGACGTGATGACATGATAAAATTATGGATAGCGACTCGGATTGAGGAGTCGAAGAGCCTAGTTCGAATTCCAGTCGAATCTATTGCATTCACTTACGTGTTAATACCCCTGGGAAAGGCATGAATCCTATTCTTCTTCCCCAGCTATGGGTAAATAGCAGGACAGACCGGGATCTATAGCCTTGAGTGGCAACTGGTCTACCGCAGAAAAAAATAAAAATGGCAACTTATATCGGGAAAAATCTGCCTCGTCAGTCATAGATCGAAAGATACATGATCGCCTAAGCGTGTATCACGCATGGGACATAACTTTTATAAAAGTTATCCTTAATGGATATATAGTTTAATTAAGATTTGTTGATTATCTGGCAAAAGAAAAAATTGTTTAATATTATCTTTTGCGCAGCACTGTATATTTATAAATTACGTTGCATTTATATATATATATATATATATATATATATATATATATATATATATATAACGTAATGGACAGAATGCTGTTTTTTGGCATAAAAAGTGCTCCATGCCACAAGAAAATGGCAAAAGCTTTTGAATATTACTTCAAATAACCAGGTTAGCAGTGACTAGCCACTATTTGCTTCATATACTTTCACACAATCATCATGTAGGCAGTGACTTAAAATAAGATGAATACCAACAAGGTGAGTTCAAATTGACATGTAAACAAAAACTTGCATGGTTGAAGAGGGGGTGTAAATCATCCAACTAAGATATAAAGTGGCAAAACAACAACAACAACAAAAAACATATTTCCCACCTAGAAAGGCTGGCCAGTATAGCAAAAAAGTGCTCAATAGTACCGGACAATCAAATTCACTTCTGGCATAAAGCACTCCATACCACAAGCAATGGCATATAAAGGCTATGTTGTGCATATATATATATATATATATATATATATATATATATATATATATATATATATTATCATAATATTTATTACACTGTTATCAAATATATATATTATTATATAATATATTACACATTACATTTTAGAAAAGAATACATCATGAAAAAATATTTTATGTGATGTGTTTAGAATCTTATCGAACTAAAAGTAGGCTTTACAGTGATATATATATATATATATATATATATATATATATATATATATATATATATATATATATATATATATATATATATATATAACAAAAAATTACATTTGACCCCAAAACCGTCGACCATTGTATTTGTAAAGGAATAATACTTTTTAAGGTAAGCAGTTTTCAACATTGAAAATATTTTTAAATTTATATAAACATAATCATGCTTATCGGAACCAGAAAGTGTTTATATATATATATATATATATATATATATATATATATATATATATATATATATATATACAGAAAAACACTTTCTGGTTTCGAATCTGATTAAAATCCAAGTCACCAGACCAGCTTGGTTTAATTTCTGATCGTCAGATCTTATTAGGTAATTTAATTTATAGATTCTCTCCTATTCTCAGAGGTATAAACGCATTTTCCTAACACATAGTTTTGTTATTCATTCTGACTTGAAGAAGCCAAGAACAATAAACATCGTCGAAACGTAAGGTATAGTTAGGCAACAAGTATTCTTCCAATCAAATTTGATTGATGAGAACCGAAGAGTCCTGTGTTTAATTTTCGGATAAATTGTTGTGTATTGTGCTGATGGTTGTGGATAAAATTCATATTTTGTTATTTTTATTCAAGTAATTTTGACTTTCACAGTCATTAGCAAGAACGGATGTGTTGTTTGTGTGCAAGATAGAATTCTTTTCTCCATATCCTGATATACTTCGGAAGCTGGACGTTTGAAATGGTCTAGCGTAACGTTATATATATATATATATATATATATATATATATATGTGTGTGTGTGTGTGTGTGTGTGTGTGTGTGTGTGTAGAGAGAGAGACAGAGACCTATATATAATAGACTTTAAATAATAATTTCGATATAGTCTAACCTAGCGACTCGGCTATAGTCACTTTCCCACCGTCGTAAAGTTTCTTCCTTTTCTATAAATATTTTCATGGTAATTGTTCGGATGAACTCTTTGATATGATATTATGAGATATTATGGTGGATGTAGTAAGAAAAGTAAGTAAGAATGTGTTGTTTTGGCGTTAGAAATATTATGGGATATCTGGGTCAGTTTTCGCGGCTAGCTAAGTTTAAAGTTAAGATAGACGAAAACCGTCCTTTTCCCTATTTTAGCCTTGTGCCACATTTTGTAAATATTACAAATAAATATCGCTCTTTGCTATGAAACCTAGGTTTTGTAAATCTAAGTACAATACTAGGTTAGCAACAAGGTACCAACAATTTTCAGTTGAATTGCTTAGAAGTTACGGTAATTTCTATGCTAACATTTTCGTTTCTTTCACTTCTTACTTGTGGAACTTTCTTCCGACTATATGCTTTCTAGCCAACTTTGATCTTCAAAAATTTAAATGCAATGTCAATCATTATCTACTGTCTGCTTCATAACACTTGTTCTTGCTCCTTAATAATGTTTGTTTTCTAATTCTCTCTCACTCAGTAACTCCCTTGTGTCTTGCATAGGGTGAATTTGATTTAAAAAATAGTCAGTATTGAACTGTAATTACAGTGACCTCTTACGATGCGGTTATTGATTGATAATGAAACCAAAACTGGGCGTAGCGACATTGGGATTTGACATATGGGCGTCTGTAGACCTACCCCATCAATTTATACATATATTTGTATATATACACTTATGAATATATTTCTATATTTGCGTGTGTTCAAAATAGTGGTAAATTCAGAACATATAACAAGTGTATCGTATAACAATGAAACAATAAAACAATAGTATATAGTTGTACTAGTAAACATAAAGTATAATCGTCACAGCGGTAGGCACCTCGTAAATAATATGCATAATTGATCTGACAACAGTTTCCAGGACTGAAATAAAAGGCGAGGTGCTTTAAAAAAAATTACTCGTTCTAAAAATGACGGAGAAGAGTCGTTATACAAGAGAAAAATCTTGCCGGAAGTCAAAAGACAAAATGGCGGGCAAAGCTTGGCAAATCGAGAGTCGTAAAAACGTTTAACGAAACGTGACCGATCAATAGCACGCGAAAATGATCCATAATTACAGCTAGCGAGGAGAAGGATGGACTATCTCACATCATTTTTGTTTTCTGGCTTCCGCACATTTTCTGGTAGACTATTTTTTGTTATCGTTGTTGCTTTTGCTGGCAAATGGCGACAAAGAAATCATGCAGTATATTTTGCAAGTTTATACACGAAAACAACAAATATATGGTCAAATGCACACAAATTATGGAATGCATAATTTGCATTAAACGAGACACCAATGTGCAAGTGTACTGATAAACACATAGGGAAATTTTTAGATACGTAAAGGCCATTTTATATTTTTTATCGA